CCAAAAACCATTCACTCCAGTGGCCTGCTGGGAAAGACTGGCAGCCGAACCACGCAGTATTACCTAAGTGGTGCAATGGAAGTAACAACAGAGTGCTGCGGAAACAAATGTTTCTTGCCTTTTTGAGGCCCACGAGTGGGTCTTCCTGCTTGTTATACCACAGCATTAAAGACAGCACCTGCAGCCATTTGATATAAACTTGCTGGCAAAAAGAACCTGCACCACGTTTTCTGCTCTGTTCCATCCTATTGTCTTTCTTAGTTGTGTCTTCCGTTGACCACAGCCCTTTATTTCTCCTTGTCACTACACCTAGGTTATATTGCCACACGTCACATTGTGCTTTTGCCTCTCTCTCTCTCTCTCTCTCTCTCTCTCTCTCTCTCTCTCTCTCTCTCTCTCTCTCTCTCTCTGAGGTTCAGATGCACAAGAAGAGCAGGCATGAATTAAGTTAATAGTTGGGTGCTGGAGTGGCAGCTTACCCAACCACTCCGCCCAGAACAAGAGCTGGATAACAGGACACAAAATCAACAGCTAGCCTGTTCCTCCAAGCAATGCCCCTACTGACAGGGAGCGCATCGCTTTTGACAAGCCTTTCACGGCACCCACTGGACTCATATACAGGAGGTTGCGTCGAATCTCACCACCAAGGCACCACCCTAACGCTCGCAGAAATCTAAACAGGTGTGACATACCCAAACAAAACTAAGGAAGCAAAACACTACTGATCGACATGCGAAAAACGAGAGAACTCAGGAAATAAGAAGCAACCAAACGGAAAACACCCCCAAAAGAGGAGCACCAGCCCCCTAGAAACAGACACCAACCAAAATAGGACAACCAATATACAGAAGAGGATTCGTATGTGGATCATAAGAACACTCAGCCAGTGGCAACAACAACTCAATAACCAACACAAAGAAACCACAAAAGCCTCAGGACCTAGAACAAAGTTACTAAAGAAATAGACACATGAAGAAAAGTTTAACCGAACTCCTGGAAATGAAGAATCAATTCAAGGAACTACAACTACAGTGGAAAAGCTCAAGAACAGGTAGATCAAACAGAAGAAAGAATATCGAGATTGAAGATAACATCCTCCAACTAAATAAAACCGTCACAGAGATAGAGCAGAGAAACAAGAGAAAAGAGCAAAGCCTACAAGAGACTGTGGGATTATGTGAAGAAACCTAATGTGAGGGTCATAGGTTACCAGAAGGGAAGAAGACAACACTCAAGGGTTGGACAATATTTGAAGATATAATAGAGGAAAATTCCCAGGCCTTGCTCAAAATCTCGATTTACAAGTTCAAAAAGCTCAGAGGACCCCTGGGAATTCAATGCAAACAGGAAGACGTCACGACATGGCAGTCATCAGACTGACCAACAATCAACTAAAGAAGCCTTCTAAGAGCTGTAAGAGAAAAGCAAGTGACATACAAGGGAAAGCAATTTCAAAACACCAGACTTCTCTAATGAGACTTACAAACAAGGAAGACTTGGGCCCCATTCTCACTCTTCTGAAACAAAAACAATGCCCAGCACTAGAATCTTATACTGCAAAACTAGCTTCATATATGAAGAGAAATTAGTCATTCTCAGACAAGCAAGTCTCAGAGAATTCACAAAGACAGACCGCCCTACAAGAAGTACTCAAAACAGTGTTACGCACGGAAAACCATAATAAAAACTCACGAATATAAAAACAACCAAAACCCAAAGATTAAAGGCCAGATAATACAATGGCTCAAGAGAAAATCAAAGCACAACATCCACCCAACAGAATGAACAGTAATCTACCTTACCTAGTCAGTTCTCTCATAAATGTGAATGGCTTAAACTCTCCACTCAAGAGACTGGCTGAATAGATAGCTAGCTGAATGGTAAGAAAATACAGGCCAAGTATATGCTGTCTTCAGGAAACACTCTAACCTGCAAGGATGCATATTAGACTAAAAAATAAAAGGGTGGGATCAATATTCCAAGCAAATTAGAAGCCAAAAAGGCTGGTTGGCAGTTCTATTTCAGACGATTTAGTTTTTAAACCAGACAAAAGTAGTAAAGACAAAGAGGGTCATATATATAATGGTGAAGGGCACAGTCCAACAAGAAGAGATAACAATTTTAAATATATATGCACCCAACTTAGGTGCACCCAGTTCATAAAGCAAACCTTACTGGAGCTAAGCAAATGGATTAATAGCAATCCATAATCCCGGAGATTTCAACACCCCACTGATGGCACAGACAGATCCTCCAAACAGAAAATTAATAAAGAAATAATGGATTAAACAAAACCCTGGAAAATTGGATCTGATAGACATCTACAGACATTCTACCCCAAACCACTGAATATACTTCTTCTCATCAGCTCACGGACATCTCTAAGATTGACCATATCCTAGGAACACAAGAAAAATCTCAAGAAATTTAAAAAATAGAAATCATACCATGTACCTTCTCAGATCACAGTGGAATAAAACTAGAAATCAACCTAACAGAACTCACATTTCTACACAAAAACGATGGAAATTAAACAACCTCTACAAATGATACTTCTGAATGAAGAATCAGGAGAAATAAAAAGTTCTATGAAGAAACGACAATGGAGAGACAAGTTATCAACTCCTCTGGGACACACTAAAGCCAGTTCTGAGAGGAAAGTTTATCTCCATAAATGCCTATAACCAAAAGACAAGAAGATCACAAATAGAATCTAATGAAATGACTAAAGAGCTGAAAAAGAAGAACAGACCAACCCAAACCAGCAGAAGAAGTAAAATCAACAAGATCAAATCAGAACTGAATGAAATGAAAACAGGGAAGCTATTCAGGAGATTAATAAAACAAAAAGTTGGTTCTTTGAAAAAATAAACAAATTGACACACCATTGGCTAAGCTAACGAAAAGCAGAAAAGAGAAATCTCTAATAAGCTCCATCAGGCAAACAAAAGGAGATATCACAAATGATCCAAAGAGATACAAGATATATTTATGAATACTACAAAAATCTTTATGCACACAAACTGAAATGTGGAGGAAATGGACAAATTTCTAGAAACACACAGCCTCCCTAGGCTCAACCAGGAAGAAATAGATTCCCTGAACAGACCAATCTCAACAGCTAAATAGAAACAGCCATTAAAAATTCCCTAAAAAGAAAAATCCGGTCCAGATGGCTTCACACCTGAATTTACCAACTTACAAAGAAGAACTAGTATATCTTGCAGAAACTATTCCACAACATCGAGAAGAACGGAAACCTCCCGACACGTTTTATGAAGCAATATTACTCTGATACCAAAAACCAGGAAAGGATGCAACAAAAAAGAAAACTACAGACCAATATCCCTAATGAATATAGATGCAAAAATTTTCAACAAAATCTTAGTTAACCAATCCAGACTTATCAAAAAATAATCCACCACGACCAAGTGGGCTTCATCCCAGGGATGCAGGGATGGTTCAACATACGTAAATCTATAAATGCAATTCACCACATAAACAGAACAAAAACAAAGACCACATGATTCTTTCAATAGATGCAGAAAAGCTTTGACAAAATTCAACACCCTTTCATGATACGAACACTTAAGAAAATAGCATAGAAGGACATACCTAAAAATGATACAAGCCATATATGACAGACCCATACCAACATTATACTGAGATGGGGAAAACTGAAATCGTTCCCACTTAGAACGGAACCAGACAAGGCTGCCACTACCTCCACTTCTGTTTAACATAGTACTGAATCTTGGCTACAGCAATCAACAGGAAAATGGAATCAAAGGTACCCAAATGGGCAGAAGAGATCAAACTTTCACTGTTTGCTGATGATATGATATTGTATCTAGAAAAACCCCAAAGATTCACCAAGAAACTCTGGAACTGATCAATGAATTAGTAAAGTCTCGGATACAAAATCAATACACAGAAATCAGAGCATTCATATACCCACAACAACTAATTGAAACAAATCAAAGACTCAATTCCCTCACAATAGCAACAAAGAATTAAAGTACCTAGAAGGGATACCTTAACCGAAGGAGGTAAATGACCTCTGCCAGCCCTCCCAGGTGCTGCTGGCACGGTGTTCCCAGGAGAACGGTGCCAACTCAGAGGCTGAGAGACATAGACCCAGGTTGGGCTCCCTGTGGGTGAATTGGGACCGGCATTCCTCTCCCTGAGAGGGATACAGTTTGAACTCTGGGACCCAGAGGTCGGACTTACAGACCAGATCCTGTGCACCACCGAGGTCTAGCATTGCCTGGGGCACAGGAGGGATATACCTGAACAGCCTACTGAGGTGTGTGTGCCTTCAGGGGCAGATCAGCATTCTAGAGGGCAACCCTTCTCCCAAAAGGAGGCTGTACGCCCAGCCAAGGTGGCCTTCCTGCACAGGAAAACTCCCCGCCGGCATCAGAGTCCAGGGAGGCCTGGTGGCCTGTGGTCTGGCCTACTGGCAGAGGCTGAGGAGTAGTTGCGGAGTTGGGGAGGGTGGAAAGAAGTGAGGCCCGCTCCAGACTGCCAGTCTCAGACAGCCCCACCCCCACAAGCAGACTTCCTGGCTGAGCTGGACCATTCCAGCCCTGCCCTGACAGCTTTCCCTGGAAGCAGAGAACAGAACTTTGACCCCTGCTAACGGCATTGGTGGTGCCTGAGTGCAGGCTTACCCAACCCAGCTCCGCCCAGAACAAGAGCTGATAACAGGAC